TAACTGCTAATTGAGTGTGGGTTTTGCCTACTTGTAATACCTGATTTTATTGCTAAATGTTTTCCATATCTGAGTTTAGGCCTGTTGTTCCTTCCAGAGTCCAGTGACTACTTAAATCCAGAATTCAATTATTCAGAACTGAATTCTCCCTGTAACATTTGTAACTGATGGTATTGCAAACAAGAGAAACTTTAAAATATATCTGAAATCAAGGAGGTCTTATTTTACAGTGATCTTGTATGCAGCTGATGTTAATGGTACATTCTGCTGGGGCTTGTAGAACAAAGTTTCTGTAGGTTTCACTGTTTTATTTGACATGTCAACCTTTCTGAAAGACAGGGATTGTCAGGTACATACAGCTGTACTAGCCACCACTACAAGCAAGAGACTGTAATTAATTAGTTCTAAGCAGTATCTCATATTCTATAATTCTGTTGTTTGCTCTGTACAAACTCCTGCAGCTTTGCCACTTTGGACTTTGACCAAATGCAGAAGTTAAAAATCTTATAGTCTTGTTTCTGTCCAAGTTCTTACTGCTCCCTTCAAAGACTAGGACAAATCTTTCTAAGCAAGAAATTTAAGAGACCTTCAGGTAAAAGTGAACTAAAACTCTGGCAACAAAGTTAAGTAAGTTATCACAGCCTTATTGTGTACATTATTCTGAACATTAAATACTGTAATGTGTTAAACTTAAAAATAAAGGCTTTGGGATTTTTAATATATCTTGTAGTTGTCTAACTTAAAATTGAATTGGGCATTGCAGGACTTGATGGGTGGATACAGAACTGCATTGGAAACATGCAGTAAGCTACTCAAGGATAAACTTTTAATCTTTGTGTGTAGCGATTTGAGCTTTCCTTGATTAACCCTTTCAACAGCAGTATTTCCTGGAGCCACCTTCACTAAAATGGGCTTTCCAAAGCCATACTGTATCTCTGGCTACTGCTTTTGCAAATGCCTTGTTTTAGTCTGACACCTTGAGCAGCAGTACTACTTTATATGTAGTAATAAGCTACAAAGAAATCTTGTATATCAATTATAAGGGAATACCTTAACATAAACCAATGTTCCTTTAATTTTTGGAAATAAAATCATCTGAATAACCCTGGAAACCAGAAGACTTAAGAATGTATCCTTGCCTTAATTCTGTCACAATTATTCTCGTGAACCTATAAGGCTTCATTAGCTTATTTCCAGAATAATTTATATTAAAAGACCACTGAATTTTAAGACTTAACATGATTTGATTTGCTGGCTCCAGGTGCTTTACTGGCAATTTAAATAATGTAAGTTGAATGCTTATTTTACCTTTCCTTCTCATCACCCCACTATCTGGCAATGTTTTTGGCCTCTCTGAATTCAGAGTTTGCTGTACCTTTGGCTCTAGATCTTTGGCAGATTTTTCACTGTCTTAGTACTCTGGTAAGTTGACCTACTTCTAAGTTTCACCCCACAACATGTTCCTTCCTTCCCAAATGAATACCGGTCTGTGGAGGATGTTTCAGTCACTGTGCTGTTCATCTGTCTGCACTGCAGAGTGTAAGAGTGACCAGCCTACCTAAAACTTCACTCAACCTGCAGCCCTCACACAGAAGCAGCCTATTACTTCAGCTATAATGTCTGTGGTAAACTTGAGGACTCTGTGCAGATCAGGGCCACATCCACATAAAAACATCTAGTTAGCCGGTCAACAGTGACAGAATCCTTACCTTCATTGCAAAGGCGACTTCCTTGCTGTTTCTGGAATTTAATTGTTATTAGTTTGTATTATCAAACATCTCTCATGCTGTGTGAACTGCTGCTCTGGCTTGCCCATCTTCAAGTAAGTGTGGTTCCCTGCCTTACTCCTAATTTTACAAAGAGCTTTCCCCTTCAATGCCTCCCTCCCTTTACTTTTTTTTCTTCCTTTTTCTCCTTACTTTTTATGATATCCTTCAGTCCAAGTTGTGCCCTCCATCTTTTTAATTTAATTTCGCAACTTTTCAGAATCCATCACCAGTTTACCACCTATGTCTGTATCCTGTATAGAGCAACCAATAAAAGCAGCTAGTGAATACATTTTATTTCTGGTCTTTATATGGTGATACTTTTAGAGACAGCTTCAGCTGTTTGATTCCATTGCCTTCAATGTCCTTTATATACATATTTTCATACTGAAGAAGAGCCTGAACTTAGTGAAGCTAAAATTACAGCCCAGAAATCTGTAATGCTCTTCTTTCTTTCAGCACTTCCTTACATTCATGTGTGTCCCATTTCAAATTGCAGTGGGCTTACAGCAGAGTTTCAAGGATTTGCAGGAGAGGGAAGATCCCCACAAGACTACAAGAAATTAGTGTAGTTCATAGTGTGGTTTTCTCATCCTTTTTGTTTCATATTCCCTTAAAAAAAATGAAAATAAAGGAGTGCAGTATATTCCCATATAATTAACTCTATTGAGAGAAGCCTAATTTTTCTTTGTTATTCGTTGTAGATTCCTTCCGCAGCTTCAACTACTGGATTAAAGTACCAAAGTAGGAAACATATAAAAATCGCTTGATCTCAGTGACGAAGTGCCTGTTGAGTAAATTAAGACCTGTATTACAAAAACTGGGAAAGGAAACCTTTGTTTCATTCACTGGCATGAAAGAACGTAACACTAAACACCTGTTTATTTGGAAGTGTTTCTCAGCAGGCTAATAATGCCATAAATACATTACAATGAAAACAGTAGTAGCTAATGCAAAATTCCAAGGACTGCAAGACACATCACAGAGGGCTGCTAAGTAAAGGCTTAATAGAAAATGTTATTATGTTGATAATTGAGTTGTAAAGCTAGTTACAGTGAGCTGTGTAAGTGACATGAAGACAATGATTTGAATTTGCATATATTCCTGTTCTTCATTATTTCTAGACATTTCTAGACCTATCTAATAGGATAGAATACAGAATATACATAATTTTTCATTTAAAGATGTGTAATATTATTACACCACTTTTTCAATCTCAGGCAGAATATTTGTGTTTTGTTTTCATTGCAGACTTTGCAGTATGTTTCTGTACTTCGAGAAAACCCATTCAAAATCTCCTTATAAATCTAACAGGCTATGTTCAAAATATGAAACATTTTTAAAGTGCAATTAAAATCAGGGTTTTCATGTATTAACAAAGATCAGAAAACAGAAGGCTAGATTCTCAACAGCATAAATTATAGTTGTATTTCTTTCAGTTGAGCTACAGTGATTTATCAAATTGAGGATCCAAACTTTCCAGTATAACATTAAGATAAATCTCTCTGTTAGAAATTTAATTATTTGTTTAAAGACAGCAGCTCTCTTAAGAGGATATTAATAATACTGGTTTGCCTACTCATTTTTAATAACCTAAGTTTGTAGAACAGCATGAAAAGCCATGCCATAAAAGCAGTTTGAATAATAAAATCTAAGGCTTCTAAATTGATGTTTATTTATATAATGTAATTGTGCCTGTAAGTCTGTATTTGAAGGAATAGTATGAAATGCAATCAAAGCAAACTTAGATTACTACTGCTTTGCTTTAATAGAGTTCAATGCCACATTGTCTCCAGGCAGGTAAGAGCAGCCATATGAATTATATTTTTAACTGCTTGCTCTAATTTAGGGGAAAAAACCCAAAACAAAACAAACCAACTAGGAGGAACTACATCCTGATGTGGAAGCCTTTTTAGCAAGTTTCAAAACAACCAATATTTTAAACATTTATTTTCCAGTGGTTCACTTCTGTAGCTATGTTTATGAAAGCTATTACTCCTCCTCCTAAATGCTATGAAGATTCTTAAACCAAACAGGATTAAACTTTCTGTTGTAGTAATCAGTCTTTTTCTTAACTTAGCACTGTTGTGCTGTGTTCAGGTTGCCAAATATTAAAAGGAAAATTTTGTGTGGGGATAAAAATACTGTGGTTAATTTATTTTGAACAATAATATTTGAAAGAAATACTCTGTAACAGTTCCTATATGGGCTTAACTTTCCTTTAGTTCTGAATTTGGAGTGATGCTTTCTGAAGTGATTTTTATAAGTGATTCTGGATTTCCTGTTCTCTCTCCTCTGAGTATGTACCTCACTCTCACTGAAAAAAAACCACAAGTAGCAAACAAAGTAGACTGGAGGATTTGGGGGTTTATATTACCTTTGAACTCTTACCTTTCTAGCTTATTTAGAAGGTTTAGAACAAGGGTAAACACACAATAAAACTTGAGAACAAAACATGAAGAGGCCAGAGTATACTGCCTAGCATACCTTTCATTTATGAAGGCTGTGTAAGTATTGTTACATTCCTTGAACTTTTGCTCACAGAAATTACTGAATTCCAGCACTGGTTGAGCATTGAGTACAAATAGGATGCATTAACATGCAGCATCAGGAGCTGCTTACTAAAGGATATTTTTGCAGGATCAAATCTTCATTTGTCCCCTAAGCAAATATGTCCATTTGTTAGTTTTGCTTTGCCTTAAAGGATTCTAGTAGGAGAATATGCAAAAAAAAAAAATAATTGTTGAATTCAAAATTTAACACGTTCCACAAAAAGAAAAGAAGATACAAAGAGACCTGAAGGCAAAGGAACTCTACAACACTAGGTTTTGACTGATTCACCAGTAAGGCTAACACTAATGTATCTTCAACCTTGTCCCTGTGTAAGAGAGTACTTTGGAATTTCACATCTTTGGAGAAGAACTATTAATTTGTACAATAAATAATCATGGGAATGTACAAAATAAGGAATAATTATTTACAGCATTGGTAAAACAAACACCACATTGGCTTAACTAAATATAACAGGAGATACATCCTTTCTTTAGCATCATGTCTGAAAACTAATAATGGCTTGTTCTGCTTAGATCTTTACTTACACAATTGCACAGTTCCCTTTCTTTGGATTATTTCTTCAGGCCACAGACCAGTGCCAATCTTCATCTGACAAAAAGATGCTGTTCCAGACTGTGAAAGACTCAAATTCATCCAGATCCTTGCTGTTGTGAAGGTGTTTCAGACTGTCAGAAATACAGCCTCATCTGAATCCTTGCCACTGTCTTCACTAGGCAAGCAACCACCCCCACTTGGGGACCTACAGCTTAAGTCCTCCACACCAGACTCCTGATCACTGTTAGCTGAGAGGTCAAGATCAGAACTTTTCAGGTTGTCTTGTGTCAAAATCAGGGCTGAATCTTCTTCATCCCCTTGTGAAGGGCTCCGGGATGGGAATGATTTCAGATCATTACTATACTCCTGGGGAGTGTTAGCTAAGCTGTTGTTGGAAGTAGAAAGCCCTAACTGTTTGCTTCGGTCTTGTTGCTTACTCTTCTTGACTTTATTATAATTTAATTGTGATTTCTGAAGATTCACCAATCTCTGAAATAAAGGAAACAGTATATATTACATGGACACATCTAGGGCCCAGTAATTCTCTTATGTGTCTTTGCCTCTAAAAAAACCCAAACAACAAAAAAAACAGAGTTCGGGGCCTAGCCCAACTGGCACCCTTTAAAACTGCCTATTTGCATTTCTGGAGTATAAGAAGTGCAAAATTTATCACAAACTAATGCTGAATTACAGCACCTTTCTGAGTTACAACTCCTGTGTTACAGAAGGATATACAGTTTCTTTCAGGGGACTCCTTGTGCGTCAACACAGGTGAAATTCAATCACTAAAGAAAAAAAAGTCCTCTGTTTTGTCTTAAGTGCAAAACATTCATAGGAATTTATGTGAGAACAAAGATAACAGCTGAACACCCTCATTTCGGAAAAGGACGCAGTGCGCAGGTGACTGTGTAGTGTAAGGGGTTGGGTTTCATTTACCATCAGTTAAGTCTGCTGCATCAAGAGCAAGTGTCCATTACCTCTCTTAAGACCTCAAGCTCTTCTTCCAGCTGCTGAGTTTCTTCCTTCACTGCCATCAGATAATCAGTTACTGACTGTCGAGGATGCAGCCCCTTTTCAAAGCGGTTGTACATACCACTCCAGAATCTGGAATTGATGGGAAAGTCAGCAATTTTCTCATTTGGCGAGGTGGCCTCAGAAGAGTTAAATACATAGTTGGGTTCTTTTCAGACACATGTCGTCCTAAGTGACCCATGAATGGATTATCCATCATTAGAGTGCATACCTGTAAGTTCACCTTGTATTTGTTAAGATTTATGGGTTTTCTGCATCGGTTCAGTCCTGAAGATGCAAGTCTGTGGACCTACACAGCTTGAACCAAATTCTGATACGCAACAGAATTGTTTGATTTAAATCACATGGCTGAGGATGGTTCACTGAAGGAAAATTTTTGCTGTATTATTTTATTCTTCTACACTATGAGCCTTAGAGCCATGGTACCTATAAAGCAACCAAGGTTTCATAATCCTACTTCCCAACCATCATTTAACTTCCCATGAAGTCAGCTTTGAAATTCTGTATGCTTTGTTCTGTCTGGGGCTGGGAGGGGGGCAAGATACAGCTATTTAACAGGGTGGTTTGTTTTTTTTTTTAATGGGAATTAAAAATCAGGAGTAAAAAACAGTAAAATATAAACTTGCCTATGGAAATTGCATGAAGCATATACACTGGCAAGTTCTCTTACTGGTCTGTGGAATGACTTGACAAACCCTTAGTTAAACAGCTGAGTTGATTTTTCAGTAGAAAAGGACTTGAACTGTAATCTGTAGCTTACTCTGCCACTCATCCTCCTGCTTCTGTCTTCCTGGAAATCCTGGCTACAGCCAGAGTACGTAACTAGTTCACCAGACAGGTTAAGTAACCCAGAGACTTGCCCTCAGCTGCAGCTGTCCAACCAAGTAGCTGACAGATATTTTTAGGAGCATGTGCATGCTCCTTGGTGGTTTATTACTCCTAACTCAGTAGTATACTATTTATCATCTGATAGCTCATGCTTGGAAATCCTTATGCACCCAAGTAATTCCATTAGAATCAACAAGATTACTCGTCTGATGGAGGATCTGCAGTATCAGCACTTCTTTTATAAATACTACTATCCTAAGAATACAATTAATTACTATTTTTAAATTGTTTTAAAATGGATGTGACCTGGAATAGTAGACATGAAAGAATTATGTTTCTGTCATTTACGATATTTATTGACTTTTTAACTAGAGCTTTTACCTGCAATTTGAAGACAAACTGATCAGTGTTACTTAAATTGCAGTTTTCATGAATTTCTAATAAAGTTCTCCTTACGTTTGTTAAGATTAATGGCACAATTAATTATTCAGGTCAAAATGTCAATGCTAACGTTTCTAAAATTATGTTATTTTGTTACATTTTGAGAAAAATCCTAAATATCAAGTAAAACTTCCTGTGGATACTTCAAGGTTTAACAACAACATGGGGAAGTCTGTTTTAGCAATGAGACCCTATGATCTCTTGAAATGTAGATTTTTATTTTTGACACCAGTTGATCCAAATATTCACCACAAAATCTTGAATGAAAGATGTTTAAGCAACTTAAATTTAGAATCCACAGATAGGAACAGAACTGACAGGGCCATTTCTCAGCAGAAGAAGTGAGTAATCACAAAATTAGGACACACAACTATCAATATAACTTTAATCTTAAGCTTCTTTTCAGACTAATACTCTGTTGTGGACTGGTGCAGAGGTGTTGACTGACTATGCACACACAAGGAAAGAACACATTGCATCTGAGACTGAATTTACTCTATAAGTTGCCTTACAGAATGAGAAATACTTAAATACCTAAAGAATCCTACAGTTCTTAGTAGCAAGTGATATTACCTACTTGTACAAGAAGTTGCATGGAGCTGTCTGCGGGCACAGGGTCCCTTGGGTTTGACTGTTTTCTGATCTATACAAAGGATTCAGGTAATCAGCACGATTTTTCCACAAGTAAGCCCACAGTGAGTAGGTTCGTTCTTGGATTCTGAAAAAAAACAACAACAACAAAATAAACAATGACACCATTAAGTCTCTGCTGCAATTAAGGTATAGCTAAAGCTTAGATGTGACATTCATGTGCTTTATACTACTTGTTTACAATCAGCTTTATAATTCCTTAACAGAAAGGCTTAAGTTATAAATAGAGAAAAAGAGAGATTCATATTCCTTTTCTGATCACTAAAGGCAAAATCCAACCCATTTCCCATAAAGCCAGAACAGCGGGAGAGATGGATTTCTTCACAAGACAGAGAGGATCTCTTCCATAAAATCAGTTGTGGTTTTTTTTGGTTTTTTTTTTTATCTGTATATCAGCAGGATCCCCACATTTACAAGCACTCCTACACCATTGAGCTGCAATTTCTCGTGCAGTTAGGTGTTGGGAGATGATGACCTGTGAAGGTTTTGATTTTAAAAGGACTGTGGCACTGAGGCTGCTCTGCATTTTAGCAGTGAAAGGGATCAAAGGCAGCAGAAGCAGGAACTCCTGTCTTCCTCTCATTACTGCTGCTGACACAATCCAGATGCATGGAAAAAGTGGTGGGTATCCTACCTGAGGAGCCAGGCCCCCAGGAAGCAGTTACAACCATCAGAACTGCAAGGAATTATATTATTGTCTCTCTTGGAGCCTGAGGGCAGGTAGATTGACCCATAATTGCTTAGGACCAAACAGCACACAGACAGTTTGCTGACTCAGTCCTAGGGAGAGCTTACAGGCAAAAAGGCTGTTCATAAGAAAGTATCTGAGAGGTCAGGACTAAAGCGTTCTGACATGAAATCTGAAGACAGGTTAAAACACAGAAGAGCTGTAACCCTTAAACTGAGAACTTAACCAGGGTTATCATCATCTTGTATTAAAGCTACAGTGACAGTTTGCCTTGTAAGTTGTTAATGCTGCAACATAGGTAGGGCCACATAGCTGAAGAGCTAATGCTCTTGTCAGTTTTCACTAATCCCTGTCATGCACTCCATGGATTACACTCCCAGAAGAGCATCATTGCAGAGGATCAACTTTTTTCAGTATTAATCTGTGTTGCGAGAAGACAATAGCCAAGTGTACACCACACCTTACAAAAGCACATGTAAGGGAGACTGGCAAATGTCTGAATCCTCAGTGCAACACCCAAAGACCCCACAGGTAAACATAAAGGCTTTCATACTTGAGCTCTCGTCTCTCCTTCTGGCTGTTACACAGGAAATTCCCAAACTGGCAAGAGTAGACATGATGCTGAATGTGGATAAGGAATCTCTCATTGAATTCAAAGGCACAAGGAAACTGTTCTGTTAACTGCCAAACACACTCAATGAACTGGTCGATAACAGGGGATATCTCCTTCGGATCTCCATCTAAATTGCCATACCTGAAACAAGCCAAGATATATACAATTATGACACAAAATTCTCCAGGAAAACTGAATTAACACTAATGAAAACAAACCCCTCACTTTGAGTGTGCAAGTTACATCATAGGCATTCATTTCTAAAAATCTCAACTACTAGTATATTTTTTTACTTACAAAAATAATACAAGATCCATGGAGTAAAATGAAGGCAGAATTTATCAGATACAAAGAAAAAACATTTACACTTTTTGCCTCACAGCTACTAACAGCAGGCTGCTGCTTAGCCATGTTTTAATGCTATTAATATAAGGTTATACCACAGTAGTATGTCATCATAAGAATGACTAAAATGACTTAATGACAAAAACATCTCTTAGACAGTTGTTCAATGGCCAACTATTCCCAAAACTGGAAAAATGAGCAGGAAAGCAACAGAATAACCGTGGCAGAGAAGAGTTTAAAGCTGCCCTCTTTTGGTGAAATTTTGAAAAAGTGGGAGATGTTTACATGCTACTCTATCTGTCCAGTGAACATCAGACTTTAAAAACATCTTTTGGAACCACTTGCAATGAGGGCCCTTGAAGAACAGGAGCCAGAAAATATAAAACACATAGAAGTATAAAATAATTCAGAAATGCCCCTAATGGGAAGAATTATTTTCAATTTATTATTCTGTTTGTCTAGTGTATACCTTGTATGTGTGTGTGTATCTTGTGTATGTATATTCCAACAGAGTGGAATTCCATAAACAACTAAAATGGAAACCTCTTAATTTTACTATTTATTATATCTCAGAGTACTGCAAACCAAACCTGTAAGTGGTGATTACTTTTCAGAGTATCTTTCATCATTGATAATAATAGATATCTGATGGTATCATATTAAATGTAATTCCTGC